GTGTGGCTGTACTCAGGAAAGTATTTCTTAAGAGACAGCATCACAGTATTCTTCAGCTTACTTAGGAATTTCCTCATCAAATACAGTCATTTCAGCTTCTTTTATAGAAAAATATTACTGCAAGAGTCCTTCAAACTGAGCACTGTATCTGAATATCAGTGCTGTGCTTTTCATGCTGATAGAGTTCAATCTGTGGGCACGGTTGGCCTTGGCTGCTCTTGAGGTCTATCTGATCCTTGTCTAATCTGACACTCCAGTATGCTTTGAGGTAAGGAATAATGAAGAACACAGCACACAAATGTAAAATAATCTGCCCATCTCCTACATCAGGTCTCACTTAGCCTGTATACTAAAGCTCTTATTCTCCAAAGCACAAGAAACTGAAATGCCTTCTAAAATGAATTATTTATAGCAACTCCAGGTGATTTGTGGCAACGTTGTGGAGCAGGGAATACTTACAGGTGTGCAGTGAGCTTTGTGAAGGAAGCTGCCTGAGCAGCAAGACAGTCTGAACTTAAAATAAATACAACATTCCTTATCGACTGCTCTATTCCTGTGAAAGCAACTTGCAAAGTCCTGACATTTTCCCTTTGCTTCATCAATACCATCATCAGGCAGCAATAATACTGTTAGCAGTGCTGTAACCTTTAAAGGCCTTGGCTTATAGAGCTGAGAGCCAGATCCAAGCAGAGCAAGGTGGACTGAAACGCAACCACACCAGAGAACCCATCCCTGTGAAAATCCCCCTTCCCCACTGTAAAAGCCAGCACCCGCTGCTTGGCTGCTGTAGATACAAAGGCTGCCCACATTAATGGGACCTGACTTGCAGTGTACTGACCTCCTGCATGGGCACTGCAGTCCTGTCACTGCTTTTTGGCCCTTCCAACAGGCAGTGGCACAGCCCTACGCTTGCCAGCCGCTGAGGGTGCAGAGTGGAGACAAGACAGAGCCTGCGCCACCTCCATTTCAGCCTGCAGAGGGTAGCTCTGCCTATCAGCCAGGCAATGGCAACCAGTCTCTGACCCCACTAAGAACATGAGTGATGGGGAGAGTTCCCTTTGCTTTTCCCATCTCTTGTTCCTGTTGGCAGTAGCAGCTCAGCTAGCTGCTCGTAGGGAGACAGACATGGCCTGAAGCACAATATACATGCACATGGGGACCTACCTAAAGAAACAGAGAAGCAGCTGCTTTTTCCAGCTCGTATTTCACCCCTCACTACAAACTTGGCTGAAGCTGCACTACTGTGCAGCCAAGAAAGGCTCAGTGTAGGCCAGGAAAAGAGCAGGAGAACAAGACAGAAAAGAACCTGCCTGTGGTCTAGGAAGAGGCGCTCTCCTTGGGAAGGGGAGAGGCAGGCTGTGCTCTAACCTGTACACCAAGGGATGCTTATGCATTTTGCAGGAGAGAGCACACGGACAAAGGGTATAAACAAGCCAAGTTCCTCTGTGGAGTCGACTAGTGTTTTATAGCACTGAGACTGCACAAACAAACCCCCTGCTGGGATTTAGTTAATTTATTTAATGGTGCAGAAACAAATATAGACCCCATCTTCCCCAGGCTGCATTGAATCTTCAGGGCTGATCAATTTTATTTTGCTTAAGGAAGTGACCAACGCTTTTCAGAACTGAAGCTGTTCTTAAAGTTCCCAACATACCTTTATTTACCTGTTATATTTAAATTGTGCTAATCCAGTTCTTGAAATTATGTACATTCTGCTGGAAGGCAATTGCCAAGGCTGTGAGCCATTGCTGGAGAGAACATAAAGAACATTATCTCTGGTCTGAACTGGTGCTACCATTCATTCATCTGCTCTCCTGGTTGCTCACATCCAGACATACCCTTAAAGTATCCTTTAACTGTACCACTTAGAACTTTACTTCTCTGCATAAAAAACAGTCAGCTTTTAAAAGACATTTGTATCTTCCTAGACATTAGGCAGGTGGGATTTTCAAAAACCAAGCAACAGTAGTCACAGATATCATTTTATTGCTACTACTAATAAATTAATCATAGCAAATTAAAATATTTAATGTGTAATAATGTTGGCAAAATAAAAATAATGTGGCTGTGGCTTCGTTAAGGCAAATGCAGCACCTCAGGTATATACCTTTAAAGAGGACTTCAGAGTCTGTGAGGTTTTCAGCCAACTTTGACATAACATTCATCAGTCATTTTTTATTCAGTAGCAGGCTATTTTTTAATATGCTGCTGGCTTTGCTGTCTCCCTCTCTTCCTCTCTCTTTCTCATTTCAGATTATGCTAGCTTCTCCTCAAAGTTTTAAAACTTTCCATTTGAAAATGAGGCTGAAAAATGCATGGAAGCCATCTACTTTACTGCAGAGGTTGGTCGTTTCTGACTCCTGTCTGTATCTGCTGACTCTATTTGGCAAGAATCAGCATTACCTTTGAGTCTCACACTGTGAATGCTGTTAATGTCTTTGTCGCTTCCTCATAAAGTGCATATTTGCAGTTGTTGGCTTTGCTTAAAGTAATGCATTACACTTGAACTGCAGAGAACTCACACTGTACATTTTGTCTCCCTAAGCATTATTTGGCATCATAAAAGAAAATATAATTTATATTGCAATTATAGAAGAATTAGGCTATTTATTTAAGCTTCCATTAAGCATATGTCTGTGCAAGAAGCAATACTACCACTGCTTCCAAGTTTGAGCTTTTCTTCTAACTACGAAGAGGATCAAAGAATTAAAACAACCGCAGGAAAACAGGCAAACCCAAGAATCACTCGATTGGCCATACAGCATGTTGCTGTAGACTACATAGGATTTTTGTATACTGCACCTGGTCATTCAATGTGGCAATATTTATAGTAAAATTGTGAGAATTCTAATTAAGGACTGTGTTTATAACCAAACCGGTGACTGAAAAGCACTGTGAGATGATCTGATGATAGTTACCAATGTCTGTTTCCACTTCCCTCACTGGAGATTAGCTTAACAAGCAAGGATATGGCATGGCTCTCTGAGAACATTGAGAGGAAAAGGAAAAAAAAACCAAAACAAACTAAACTTATGATGGGAATTGTAAATTAATGTTCATTCTAATTTGTCTGTACTCTCTTAGTCCACCCAAACCCCATGCACCATCTAAGTACTACTTGAAAGAGTTGGAGAGAGTTCAAAAAAGTAGATGAGCCTTGGGCTGCTCCTTTGCAGAGAAATGCGTTTTTCCCAACAATACTTGTTTTATTTAGGTTAAGACAATTTTTGTAATTAGGAGGAAAAAATACCAGTGATCTCTCAAAGATTCCACAAAAAGCAAGCACATTCTAGCCTTTTCAAGCATTGTAGTTCAGTCTCTCTACTCTTTCTTGCTTTGAAGAATCGCAGAATCATAGAATGGTTTATGTTGGAAGAGACCTTGACAACAGAAATGGGGGAATGGAGACTGTGATTCTTCTGGTCATGTCTCTGCCCATGTTCAACATGAACTGAACATGCCATGGCTACTAGAAAAAACACTACATCTGATTACCATTAGTAAAGTCACATGGTATTAGTATATTCACCCTCTCTAGGAGGAAGGCAAATTTTGAAAAAGAAGCGCTCACTCTACTGAAATACAGATGCAACAGAGTGCAGATCACACTCATTCCATAGCTGTTAAAATAAACAAATACCTGAGTTTCTAAAGAAAGGACTAAAAAACCTGACAGCATTCTGGAACGGCAAGGTAAAAGAGCCTTAAATGAAAGGCGGCAGAGAAACAGGGACAGTCAAAAATGAGAGTAAATGCAAATGGATTCTAAACTCCAAAAAAACATAACAAATTTGTTTCCAACACCACATCTCATGTTTTTACAGTAATATTCTTCTAACAGATGGTTTCTCGAGCTGTAATTGTCTTTCATTGAATTTCTTTGAAAGACAATTTGAGACATTTACATCAACACAGCACTGTGTAGAGGATGTCATCCAAATCTGGTCCCCTTTGGAAACATCCAAAGTTGTGGCATGTTATTAATTATTACAGGATAGAGATGCACTATTGCTAACATTTGTACTCTTCACTGAAAATCCTGTAGTATTTACCATTTCACCTATAAAAAGCTGCTTCTTGGAACAAAGTGATTATGTGACAATCTCATTTTTAAATAAAAGTGCAGGCACTCATGCTTATGTGGTAATGCTAAATGTTCAAATACAGTGAAAATCTAGTAACAACATATTTCTAGGGCCTAACATTTTCCTATACTAGCAAGTAAGTTCTAAGATTGGTTGTTCTCCAAGATTGTATGGAGCTACTGCAGCAAAATCAATCAAAGAATAGGTAAGGCTACAAATACAGTCTCCCTGAGGTCATTTAGGCAGAAATGCCAAAACTAGGTGAACATAATTTCATTCACTAAGGTGTTATGCAAAATTTGTCATATTTGGTCCCTCACAATCTCTGAGTGACAAAGGGTTTAATGACTCCGAGGATGTGGCCTCTGTTCAGCACTTCTGGAGAGCAAATTTACACAAGGCAGTGGGTACTGTCTGGGAAAGGACCTCCAGACAGGTCTGAAGTTCTTTTTGTTTGCAGTATTTTCTTCTCAAGAAATTGTGATCTTATCTCAGAGAGACGAGCATCCTTTCAGAACAAAGAATGACTTAATTTGCCCGACTCGCTGGCAAAAACCAAAAGTGGCTGAAGTGGCAGACTTAAGTGCAAGTGAAACTGAGAAGTCACAGTTCCCTTTTGAACATTGATTCAAACTATAAGCAAGCCAAGAAGTCCAGGAAACACTGTACATCAGATTCTGATCCCATCACTATCAGAGCCAAGTCAATACTTCAGCCTGTGTAACTGCTATTACAATGTGGATCATTCTCCTCTAATGGCAAAACCAGGATGTTTTCCAGCAGACATCTTCACAGCATGCCTGTGATATGGACAGGGCTTTGTAATATTGCTAAGTCAAGACTGCTTTCCAAGGTGTAACATTTAAGTGTTTCGTTTTTGATGCTGTTGAAAAACTTTTTCAAACTCTTGTGGCTTCATTTGCAATCTTGGACCTCTGAAGGGTAATAGGTTGGGAGAGTATCGCTGCAGACAGACAACTCCTCAGTTCCAAGCTTCAAGTCAGCCTGCATTGGGTCGGATTCACCCTTCAGCGCCGTGCAGTTTCTCAGCTGCAGTTCTTTGGTGAGGCAGAATTCAATCTGACCAATTGTTTGTGCTTTTTCACCCTAGAAACACGAAGGATCAGATCAGCTTGATGGGGAACAGAAAATAAATCAATTCTTCAGACATATCGCCTTATCTATAGATTACAGTAGTGCTTATTTGTGTATTTGCCACTTGAAAAATGTGATTGAGACAGGTATCAGAGGCATCCACTCTGAACAGCTTATAGTTCATACTTGTATTTAAGGAGCAAGCAGACAAGGAAACACATTCCAACAACATAATTCAGTAACAGTGTGGGGAATCTGCCTAACCAGCAAGTCTCATGAAATGCTGTGGCACAGCTTATCTTAGCATTTACCAAATCTGCACAGCAGAGCTCTGGCTGAATTCTGTAAATATTGAAGGCTATGTGTGACCTGAAAGACACCTTTCACCAACTCTTTTGTAGCAGGACAGGAACTGAGGCAAAGAAAATTCTCCTAAAATGATGAAAGAAACTTTTTTTTTAATAAAACTTTTTTTCTTTTACTGAAAAGAATACAGAAGCAAGCTGTCAAAAGTAGCAGAAATGTCATTTTTGGACTACAGGACAGGCTAGGAAGAAAAATGCTGGCCATGAATAAGGCAGGCAGGCACAGAAGCCTTTCATGTGGGGAGGAAGATTAAGTGAAAATCTCCCAACATGCTCAGGTGTGACAAAGTGCACATGGAAAAAAAATTGTTTTGAAACCACTAAGGAGGACAAAAATATATGTACAAGACAAAAGTAACTGTGGTGGCATTTTTTTGTTGTTTTTTTTTGGTTGGTTGGTTGGTTTGGGGTTTTTTTGTTGGGTTTTGTTTGGGTTTTTTTTGTTGTTGGTTTTTTTTTAAAGAAACCTAAGAACACAGTAAGTGTGTAATATGTTTTGAGCATCAAAGTGCCCCCATAATGCACTTCAGGCATCGACAAGGCTGGAACTCTGAAAAGGGCTATCTTAAAATAACTAGGGTGTACTTTTCCCTTTCTATTACCCATTAGCGTCAGCTGTTAAGCACTGGAGAGTCAAGCTGTAAATTACTTTCACATAATTTGAGCAGTATCCCAATTGTACTAAAAGCAACGGCAAAACTACAACGAACAGAGCTAGAACCCCTGGTTTGTGTTAGCTTTGTATTTCTTCAACATCAAGAGGTGGGTGAGTATGCAACCCACATTTGCCTTGCATTCCTCTGTTGCTTAAATAACATAAAACTACATTTTAAAAATAATTGTAAACTAGAATTCTTTTTCACTTGAAGAAACATCTGACTATAAAAAACCTTAGAGCACTACTAAAGCAAATGAGCTTACAACACACAAGCTGTTAAACTCCAACAGCAACTGTTTCATAGCCAGTTTTCACAAAATTGTCATCTACATATGGGCAGTAACTGTCAAGTGTTTAGTAGTAAATCACTTTTATCAAGCCGAGATAATGAGGAACCATTTGTAAAAGGGAAAGCTATCTTGTGGGTTTGGTTTTTTTTGTTTTCTTGTGGAATAAAAGCAGAGTAACCTAGCTGAAAAAGGAAAGAAGCAGCTATGCAGTCTATCAGGTTATTTGTTTGGAATACTATTTTGTTCCTTCAAAGGCATTTTTGGTTCAGATAACGTGACCTCTATTTTACACCATAACACACTGCCTCTGCATACCACATTCTCTACTGCATTGTGATTCACAGTACAATCGCTGCCAAAGAAAAGTAGAAAGAAATGGAAATTTTAGACACCGTTCACTCAAAAGGAAAGACTACAGTCATTCTGAACCACTGTGAAGCTCAAAATGCCCTTCTATACCTCTTTAGGTAGGGGCTTTTCAGAACAATCTCAGAGACCAGCCTCCGAGCTGCTTACTTTCTGAAGGATTCTGTCCATTGAGTAACTTCTTCATGCAGAACACTTGAGCCATGCCCAGTGAAGGGAAGGCTGCTGTTGACTGGCAGTACCCTTGTCATGGCCAACAGTCACTGGCTCCATTCAGCTCATCCTTGTTGGTTCTAGAAATTCTCTATATGGCAACTAAGCTTTAGCAGGAGTGCAAAGTACTCAGCTACAGCAATATGTCTTTGTGTGGTGCTTACAGCATTCATGCAAGAGTCCTCCAAAACCCAGTGCTCCCACTTTCGGGGTAAGTGTACTAACAGCAAAGTTATTAAGTAAAGAACGGACACTTCCTCCACTAACAGGGCTGTGGCAACATACGCTGAATTCAGTGGTGTCAGTATGTAAGCAATGATTTTATGAACTCAACTCCAAGAACTGAGCAATATCTAATCTGAACAGAGCTGTATATATAAGAAAATCCAGACTTCAGTTTCGCCATTCTGAAGATTTTTCACTCTGTTTTTGCTTTTGGTATTTTTTTTTTATAATAAGTGCTCTTTTTTAACAAAAAAAGGGAAAAAGGAGAGAGAGGAGAGGAGAGGAGAGGAGAGGAGAGGAGAGGAGG